TCAGCTTTTGATTTTTGAAATTAATAGTATTTCTTGGAAAACACATGAAACATGAACTGCTTGGGCCACGTCTCATTCCAGTGTCACTGGAAAATCACTGCTCCAGTCAGCCAAGGCACACATGCTGCCTCAGGCACAGCGTTTGGATTGCTGTTTGGGGGTCCTAACGGAGCAGTCAGGACAGACTGAGGATGCAGATTGCAGTGACAAAAATTTATTATTTATTTAATTATTAATTATTGATTATTTGATTTATTATTTAATTTAATTAATTAATTAATTAAAGACAGACTGAGGATGCAGATTGCAGTGACAAACTCTCCTGGTTTTCCTATGTCTGTCCTACCCAAGGATGCAGGTTCCTAATTTAGAAGGACTTACTGCACTGGAACTCCCAGTCACTCAGAGGTGGGAGGAGATGGTTCTTACTGTTCCTGATGCTGGTTCTTACTGTTCCTGATGCTGGTTCTTACTGTTCCTGATGCTGGTTCTTACTGTTCCTGATGCTGGTTCTTACTGTTCCTGATGCTGGTTCTTACTGTTCCTGATGCTGGTTCTTACTGTTCCTGATGCTGGTTCTTACTGTTCCTGATGCCCAATATTCTTCAAAGGTGAGTTTCTACAATATCAGTAATTTCAGGCTACAAACCCCCTACATGTAGTAAATCAGCATTTCATTTCAGTGGCTGTTGCCAGGTCCCAAGACATGATCCCCCCAGAAGTGCAGAGCACAGAGGAACAGGGCAGTGGCACCATTGTCACTGGGAAGGCAGAGGCAAGAGGCACCCCGGGGCTCGTCGCCTGCCCGGCTGCCTCCCCCACGCGCTGACAAGCCCTTGGGCCTGCAGGCTGCCTCTGCCACGCACTGCCAAGCCCTTGGGCTTGCAGGACAGCTCCTGAGCTGAGCTGGGAGAGGAGCAGTGCCAGGAGGACCGGGGCTCTCTGGGCCCTGCCGGTGGCTGGAGCCATGGCCACCGTGGGGGACGAGGACGATTTCCTCATGAAGAACAGGCAGAACTTCCTGCCCTTGCTCAGGTGAGGGGGCTCCTCCACCCACCCCCATCCCCTCCATCCTCTTCTCCTATCTCCTCCACCCCTCCTTCCCCCACCGTGGCAAACTCCCGGCCCTTGTCTCCACCACTCCCCTCTCCTCTGGGACCTCCCTTCCCCAGCCCTCTTCCTCCCTGGAACACCCCCTTGCTCTGGCAGCGGGATCCTCGCTGGGGAGGGCTGGGGATGCCAAGCTGCCAGATGGGATCTGCGATGGCATTGGGTTGCTTTGCCCCGTCACCCCTGTGTCCTGGGTGGGGTGACGGGGCAGAGCAATGCAGCACCCTGCCGAGGTCCTGGACCCAGCGTGTCACCTCGAGGAGAACTCAGTGTGACAGAGGTGGACTTCTCGTCTCCATCTGTTCACCTCGAGGAGAAGAGGAGAGAAGCCCAAGTGATGCCAAAGGCTCTGGAGGAGGAGGGAGAGGTGAGGAAGGTGGGAAGGTGCGGGGAGGGCTTGTGTGTTTCTGGAGGGCAGCCAGGGGCAGGTGAGTGGCTTCAGGTCTGGGCAGCCACGTGACACTTTCTCTGGTGTTGCCAGGCCTTCAGAAAGAGGATGGAAGTCATAGCCGGCCGGTGGAGGGACCTCCATGCCAAGGAGGCTCAGCTGAAAGCCCACAAGGAGAAATCTCTGAGGATGATAAAGGTACACCTCCCCCTGATTAGCTCAGCTGACATGGCCCTGAGCTGCACCACCACCTCCTCCCATCCCCTGGGGAGACAGTCGTGGGCCACCACGTCTGCTCACGCCTCCCTTGAGCCTGGAAGTGTGAGGAACAGGACTGACAGGGCATGAGGTTTTGTACCACAGATGTGGAAAGGCCTGGTAGGGCTTGGGCGGGAGAGAGCTTGTCCTGTGCCAGGCTGATCTCCTGAGGGCCCCAAACATCCCCCCAGAAGGGTCTCAGCCTGTCCCCACTGTGGACTGTCTTCAAGACCAAAGGGCCAATGCAAGAGGGAGGGCCCTGGGAAGCACTCCAGTACTGCTCTCTCCTCTGTGAAGGGATCTCCTCCCAGCGCTGTAGAGTGACCCAGCTCCATCTTCCCTTGCCTTCCTTTCCCTTTGCCCATGTGGGTGTGTGTTGGTGGGTGGGGGAAACATCACCAGGAAAGAGAGGAAATGCAAGTCCAGGCTCTGAAGAAAGCCATCAAAGAGCGAGAGATGACGATGCAAAAGGAGAGTGACCTTCTGAGAGCCAAGAGGGAACTGGAAGACCTGACAATTAAGCGCCAGGAACTCTCCAACAAAGTGCAGAAGTATTCCATCTTCAAAAAATACCTGGACGACGTGGTGAAGATCTCAGAGGTGAGTTTGGACATGAGAGAGACAGATCATGGCCTCGAGGAGGGCCTGGTGTGGGTGTTAAACCCCGGGGAGATAAGGCAAGTCCAGGGAAACCAGAGCAGCCGACAAGCCCAGAGGCATCAGGTGGGATGGGAGGAGGGTCCCTGCCACCAAGGGGAGCCAAGGGGACCAGAGTTGGGGGACGAGGACGAGAAGAGGAGGTGAAGCCTTGAGAAACCCCAGGAGATGTGGGAGAAAGGGGGAAGGTCACAGGGCTGGGGGGAGCGGGGACCCCTCTGTATCAGTGTTTCAAGGCACATGGATGGGTTGGGAGAAGTGAAAAGCTGCCTGGGAATGGGAACCCGGGAAAAAAGCTCTGCCCTCTCTGAGGGATACCCGGACACCACCCCGGGCATCTCTCATACTCCTGCACTCCCCCCTGCCCCTCTCCCATGTCGAGGTGACTCGGCACTGGCAGTTGCCCTTGTGCTTTGTGTTTCATCAGAGCGCTGCTCAGCTGGGGGAGAGGTGCAATATCTCCCCTTGCTGATGGCGGTGACAGCTCTGGGACTGGCACAGTGGCATGTCACCAGACAGGGGATGTGGCGCTGCTCACCAACCAACTGGGGCAAGAGTCTCGACAAGAAGGGGAGATCTTTCAGCTGGGGGAGGTGTTGTCCCTGGCCAGGGCAGGGTGCCAAACAGCACGAGCTTGCAGTCATTGATGAGGGGAGGGGAGGGGAGGGCAGGGGGATTACTGACACCAGGAGTCTTGTGCTGCAGTTCCATGGCCAGTGACCCGGCGCTGGCAGTGGCCCTTGTGCTTTGTGCTCCATCAGAGCGCTGCTGGGCGGGGGGAGGGGTGCAATGTCTGCCCTCGCTGGTGGCGGTGACAGCTCTGGGACTGGCACGGTGGCATGTCACCAGACAGGGGATGTGGCGCTGCTCACCAACCAACCGGGGCGAGAGTCTCGCCAAGAAGGGGAGATCTTTCAGCCGGGGGAGGTGTTGTCCCTGGCCAGGGCAGGGGGCCAAGCAGCACGAGCTGGCAGTCACTGCTGAGGGGAGGGGAGGGGGGGACAGGGGCGTCACTGCCACCAGGAGTCTGGTGCTGCAGGTTGAGACCATCCAGGGAGTCACTTTGCACTCCAAGGTGCTGGCGAGGAGCTGCTGCTGCTGCAGTCACCAGAGGGGCACGAGGAGGTGGCTGGGCAAGTGAAGATGCCCCTGGAGCAGGGCACAGCAGGGAGAGGAGCTGGGATCCTGCAGCACGAGGAGGAGCTGGAGCAGCTCCAACTGCCTTCTGACCAGGCTGGAAGCGACGTCCGCTCCTGGGCGAGGAGATGTGGGGCGGGCAGGGGAAGATCTCCAAGGCCTGGCTGTGTCCAGCCCAGCTGATGGCTCATCCCTGAGCCAGGGGTCCATGGCAAGGCCCAGGAGCAGCCTTTGCTGTGGGAGGAGATGCCACTTGTCACCCCTCCGAGAGGCTGTGGAGTGAAGGGTGCCAGAGCAGGTCTGGAGCAGGTTCCATCAGGGGTTACAGCCAGGCCCTGGCAGAGCCATGGTGGTCTGTGTCCTCGCAGCCCAAGGGCTGGGTGAGCCGGGCTCTGGGGAGCTCTGCCTTGGCACAGACTCCAGCCGTGCTCCACCACGTGCCCGTTGGGTTTGTCTGGCCTGGCCATGCCCAGTTCCATGCAGCAGAAGCGGCCAGACTGGGCTAAACTGGGCTGCAAGGAGGCTCGTCAGGGTGTAGCCAGTGCTGGTGGCGCAGCGATGCCCTCGGCTCAGCATCGCCCCGAGGGGGCCGTGCCAGGCTCCCTGCTGGGACCCTCCGGGCTCCAGGAGTTGGGTCCCACCAGGCAGAGCTGGAAAGCACCTGCTCTGGGAGGGTGGCCGTGGGACCTGCTGCTCCCGGGCTCTGGGCTCCTTCTGCTGCGGGGAGGGCAAGTGGGGCCGGCAGGGAGGAGCTGGCAGAGAGATGGGGGGTTCCTGGGGCGAGGAGCAGCTGGGGGGGCTCCTGGACCTGCCTGCAGCACCCCGAGCTGAGCCCCCTCCAGCACAGCCCTGGGCAAGGGTGGGTTCTTCCTGGCAGGACAGCGGGGTGGGGGCGTGAGGCTCTGCCAGGCAGGGTCTGCAGCGCTGGAGCAGCACCTCTGCTGGGGCACGGCCCCGTGCTGCATGTCCCCTCTGCTCTGGGGAGGCTGGCTGGGCCCACAGCCAGAGGGCGAGTGCCCAGAGAGCCCAGGAGCTGGCCACCACCACCATCCCGCTGGCCACCA